TTCTACCGCCCCCCTGAAAAATGAAATTGCCCCCTGGGGGGCATTATCGCCCACGTTAAGAACCACTGAGGTAGAGCATAACTCATTAAACCACACTGCTTTCAGGACGGGAAGCAGACAGTTTGTGGAACAGATTATAATGCCAGTATTTGACCCTGCACTTGATTAATTTTTCAGAAGATTGAGTCTTCTGATTGGTGTCTGTTCGTAATCTAACAAGGTGCTGGCCTAAGGGTCTATAATTTTCATGATATGGTGCTGATTTAGTCTAATAAAATCCCACTAAAATGTGCCCGTTCCAAAAGCCCTTCTCAGCAGCCTGGCCTAGAGCTTATCATCTTCATAATATAGCAGGGTAGATAGAAATCCATGTTTTTTTAAAATCAAATTGATTTAAATCACAATTTAAATTTTAAAAATCAATTTTTTTAATTTGAATAATCAAAAACTCAGTTTTTAAATTCAAATTGTAATTTAAATCAATTTGATATAAATCAAATCCAGCCTGCAATGCCACAATTATATTTTAAAAAATTAAAATATGATTATATGCATACTGTATATGTACCAAAATTTTTATTAAGTAATTTCCAGAGACTGCATTAATTTTCAAGTGATTTGTATAAAGAGAGGTGAGGAAATGCTAAACTGGAATTTTCTGCACACACCCCTCCCCCAGTATTAGGCATAAATTTGTTAACGACTGATTGATGTTTATGGTGCTTTTTGTGGTGAAGCATATATGGGCATGGGATATCTTATAACAAATAGACTTATTTACAAATATAGTTGAATTAAGCTGAATCCTTCAGTTGGAGAAATGACTCCTACTGAAACAGCTAAGATAAGCACAAAACTTCCAAGTAGACGAATACTTACTGAGTATGAGTTAATAGGCTTCAGATATTACAGAGGTGTGTTATTTCTGGTAAAAGATAATTACTGATGATGATTTGTAGATATAACATTTTAAATAGGCAAAAATTAAAGACCTGTCAAAAGTTCATATTAGTATTGACTTCACGATGCATGTAGGTATTTGCTTTTAATTGTCTTCTAGCAGAAATCTCTTACCAATAGCATATACTGTAAATACTGTAAGTAGTTGCAGCAGTAAGTGGTTGTTCAGTTTTTGTTGTTGCATATGCTCAAAGGCTTCTGTGGCAGCACTTAGTTTAGCTTGCACATTCAAGCTGCATTACAGCTTATCTGTTGATTGGTTTAAACAATTAGTTCTTTCAGAATGCAGTAAGATTTTATTACTGAGAACCCAGTGTGTTGTAGTGCAGTGGTCCCCAACCTTTTCCCAACCATGGACTGGTTTGGGGGGCGTGGCACGCTCGTACAGGGGCATGCCGCGCTCGTGCAGGAGCATGTTGTGCTAGTGGGGCTGTGTCACGCTCGTGCACATGTGTGCGGTGCACTTACAGGGGGCAGGACATGCTCACACACACTCCCAGGGGGAATGCTCACGGGGGGGGGGCAGGAGATCTGTGTCCACGACCTGGTCCTGCCTAGTCCACAGACTGCTACCGGGTCGTGGACCGGGAGTTGGGGACCCCATTGTAGTGGATAGAGTTGTACACTAGGACTCAGAAGACCTGGGTTCAAATGTGTGCTTGGCAGTGGAAACTCACGGGGAGGGGGGCACTGGAAAAAAAAACCTAACTCCTTAAAGAATCATCATACCTTAAAAAAAAACATGTTAGGGGCTCTGTAAGTCAGTTTTGCCCTGATAACACACAAGATTTTTATATACAGCATAGTCAATGTGGAAAGAGAATTGTAGTCTAAAGTAATTACAGTGGACCCTTGACTTACAGACTTTTCGAGTTACAGACTTCTCTGGCTGCAAAATTTAGATTTGACTTGCAGCCAGAGAATCGACCTACAAACCAGAAAAAAACCAAAATGGAACAAAATAGAACAAAAAAGGCTGGTTATGGGATTAATCGATTTTCAATGCATTGTAGGTCAATGGAGACTCGACCTACAGACTTTTCGACCTGCAGCCACCGTTCCAATACGGATTAATTCCGTAAGTAGAGGGTCCACTGTAAATTTGCCTACTTAATAACTTTCCTTGGGCAGCATTTTTCAAAAATTGTTGCAAATTTCCTCATGGAGCTGTGTAGTCCTTTTGAGTGTTTCAGAAGAATTGATTTGTCAAGATTTAAAAGTTTATTGCATAAAGAATTGGCTACTGCAATGAAACATTATAAGGAAAACCTAACATACCTCTTGTATAGTCTTTACTGTTGTCTGTCTGCAGACATACAAATATGCTAACATTCAGCTGTGCTCATGCTTCTTCCCTGTCTTGATATCAGATGTAGATTCTTGAACAATCAAAAGATTAAATAGATATTCCAGGGGAAAATAGTTTTGTTTTCTTTTCTTTTTTGAGAACTTTTGGGGCTATAATGATTTTAACCTTGGGCAAAGCTTGGGACAATTAGGGATATGCCATTTGTTATGTTTTTAATACAAATTCCAGAATTCTCCGTGCAGGGATCCTGCCTGACAGATATTTAAATGTGGCGCAGGCCTAGTTCTTCATGGCGCAGGCCTAGTTCTGTCCAGTTTCCTGTTCAAAAAGGTGGCTGCCACAATACTTGCTGGGAGCTTTCTTTTTGAACAGGAAGATAAATGGATCTAGGCTTATGCTAGACCGCAAAGCCTTTTTCGTAGATGAGTCACATCTAGGTATCTATATGTGTCAGTCAGTCATGTGGAGTACCCATAATGGAGAATTTTGGTATTTGTAGTTTTAAAAAAAGCAACAAAAATTGGTACATCTGTAGTGATAAATCTCATCAACATACTAATAATCCATAATAGGTTTTAGATTAATTCAATTTAATGGGTGAAAAAAATCTGTAATAACTTCCATAGTTTTATTGAAGGTTAAAATTGTATCTCTTGCATAACATTGGGAGATTTTGATTTGGACTGTTGATTCTACTTGCAGATCATAGTTTTTCAGACATCTTATTAAGTTTCAGTGGGAATTTTAAAGTGTCAACATTCCATTTGGGAAGATAAAATTTAGAGATCATCCAGATTAGGATGCATTTATTACTTATATTAAGGCTGACTCATATTTTTGGTGGCAAGCATGAGCCATGGATTCCCAAGTGTTATCCCCTTGCTACGTGGGAATGAGATTTCATTTTGCAAGAGAGAAGGAGCAGATGGATGTTGGGTACTCAATTCTTTCCATGCTGCTGTTCCCCCCACACTACATTTCCTTTCACCAAATTTAAAAGTATAAATTGCTAAGCCTTCTGTTGTTGAAAAAGATACATTTAAACTTATATCACATTAATATAAAAATAGAACCTCTTGCAGGGAAGCCAGATCAAATTTGTTAATTTTTAAAGGTAACTGATAATACAAAAACTTACTATCTTATGGTATTTTTCTTTGTCTTTCTATAGGGATTAAAGACACAGGAGCCTTCATGGATATAGTTGACACATTTAACCATTTAATTCCTACTGAACACTTAGATGATGCCCTATTTCTAGGATCCAACCTGGAGAATGAAGTCTGTGAGGATTTTAGTACAAGTCAAAATGTCTTAGAGGATTCGCTGAAGAACATGCTCAGTGATAAGGACCCTATGCTAGGATCTGCAAGTGCTCAGTTCTGTTTGCCTGTTTTGGATAGCACTGATCCCAATTTCCAGATGCCTTGTTCAACAGGTAACTCTTAATATTTTTTAAGTTTACACAGTTAAGTAGAGCAGTATTGTAGTGTTGTCCCCTTTGCTCTGAAAACATGATTCTCTTTTTCGGCCATGGTATGTGGCTTTGAATCAAAGGTTAAACCACTAGTTGTTCTTCAGTGCAGCTGAAATAACTATAATATAAGTGAGAAATGGAAAAGCCTTCCTAGGGCTGTTTGCAATTAGTATTTATTCTACTAATGTAGGGGCATGGTTTGTACCTGTCTTAAGTGATTATAAGTCGTATTCTGCAATTTTAGGCAGATATCTTTTTATTTTATTTTATTTTACTTTTGAATACTGCCTTATAGATTCACAAAATATACTGTGAAATCTTAATTAAACAGTTTGGAAAAGAAAACATATTTCTTGAAGTAACAGTGATGTATCATTTGAACATAAACGTGCTGATACAGTGCAAATCAAAGCACTGACCTGTTCCCCTACATGTCACCAGGTTGTCATCTGTGAAATGGATATAGTATTAATTTTTGGGGGGCAAATATATGACTTGGTATTTTGATGTTTCCATAAACTCAAGACAGGTGAATTGATCCTCCTCAGTTTGCTTTTTGTAGAATATGTTTTGGAGCAGTATTTTAGTTCTTGGGCAAATTGCCTTTCTTTTAACATCATTAGTTATCTTGTGGAAGTTGGTATTATATGATTAGCCATCTCTACCATGCAGTCATTTTGGGAATGAGAAAGTCTCCTCCCATGTCATTAATTTTTTGTGAGCCCCCTCAAAAAAATCTCAAAATTCCAAACACAAGGGATCCGATGTGCATGTTCCCCAAAACCATAGAATTATTGTGTCTTTATTCGTTCAGGTATTTCTAGTAGCACACATTGTCTCTTCTCCGTTACTTGAGTTTTGCTTTTTACTATTATTCTAGAAAAAGGTGGAAGGAATTTTGGGACCATTGATGTAGTTGAGCAGCATGCAGATTACTGAGGGAAACTGGACTTTAGTGCAACATACATTTAAAGCTCTCAAAAGACACTCTGGTGAAAGATACTAAAGTGTAGAGAATATCAGCTTTGAACAAACAGTTCAAGGAGTAAGTCCTTAACAAGACTTTTATCATTTTGCATTTATGGAACTCTATACTTGAATAGCTTTGAAGGTTTAATATTTCGGAAGTTTGCAAACCCAAGTATTTGCAGTCATTGGGGGAGTAGTGAGGGGACTCAGTAATAGTATTTTTCAATTCAGGGTTCATTTGGAATGTAATTTATATCTCAAATATTTCATTATGGAATAGGGATTATAAATTGTAATTCTATATTATGAGATAAGGTGTTAATACATTGTATTAAAACGTTTTGTAGAAAAGGTTCAATTGTTCTGGGACTGGCTTTTTAATTTTAAGTTCCAACCCAAGGCTGGAACTTAAAGAAGCATGCATGCATGCATGTGTATATGTGCATGTACCCTGGATGTGTGTACCTGGAGGAGGGAAGTGGAATAGGAAACAGCTGAGCAAGCTGCCTAGAAAAGCCTTTGGATGCGCAGAGGCACCTTATGATTGCTGACACGTGCAGGAGAGTTTGGCAACGATGGGCAGCTGACATACTGCAAATGCACAAACAAAACACACAGACACAAAAACTGAAACTGCCTGGCTGCCAGGGGGCAGGGGGGAGAGACAGCAGTGTTTTGCCTTCATGCCAGTCTTTTAGCTGCTGGTTCTGGGGTTTGTGCATCTGCTCAGTGAAGAGCTGTCTCCTTGGCTTGATCTTTCCTTGCCTGTTCCCCTAGCCCAGTGATGGCGAACCTTCCCAAGTGCCCAAACTGCAACACAAAACCAACTGATTTACAGTGGTGCCTCGCTTGATGACGTTAATTTGTTCCAGTGAAATCGCTGTAGAGAGAAATCGTCAAGCGAAATAAAAAAAACCATTGAAACGCATTGAAAACCGTTCAATGCGTTCCAATGGGCGAAATACCTGCTTGTCCAGCAAAGATCCTCCATATGGGGGCCATTTTTTGGTGCCTGTAATGCGAGGAATCCGTCCCTAACACAGCGGGGAGCCATTTTCTACAGCCAGCGGCCATATTAAAACACGACAGTCAGCTGTTTGCTAATCGCCGTAAAGCGAAAAATCAGTTCCCAAAGCAGGGAACCGATCAACGTTAAGTGAAATTCCCCCATCTAAACATCGTTTTGTGATTGCAAAAGCGATCGCAAAAATGTCAACGTTAAGTGGATTTGTCGTCAAGCGGGGTAATCGTCCAGCGGGGCACCACTGTATTTCAAAGCGTCAACACTGTAAATACTAAGGTTTTAGTTTAGAAAAAAAAACTGCCCCTGCATTGCAAGGGTTAAATGCTTGTTTTACTTATCAGTCCTCCAATCCCCCTTGGGGCTAGACCAGTAATGATTGCCATTCCAGCCCTCCTCTGGACCAGCAGAAGGGAGTGCCGAAATCTGGAATTGGAGAATGGTTAAGTATTTCTCGATGGCGACTTATGGCTAACATGCCCACAGAGAGGTCTCTGCGTGCCGGCTATGGCACGCATGCCATAGGTTCGTCATTACTGCACTAGCCCCTTTACCCTGTATCTGGAAGAAGATTTGGGCAAACAGGCGTCAGGGGGCTCCTGCAGGCTTGTCTCCCCCATACCCTACTTTTAGCACAACAACAGCAAGGGCAAGTAGGTGATTAACATGGACAGAGGTGTTCACATGGGGAGGAATCCATTTAAATAAGTTGATTCCACATCCGCATTGAAATAAATGGCCTCTGGTAGAGGAGTAAAAAAACTTCCTGCCACTCCAAAAAGCATGATTCCCGTCAGATTAATCCACTCTTACAGATGTGTATTTTTTTTTCAACCGTTTTTACAGCGATTTAAAAGTGGCTAAACCTGAATTAAATAGGGCTTTAAAAAAAATCAATGAGACCATCTATTAACCACTTTATTCTGCAGAGATAAATGCAGTAAGTTCTCCCCAAAATGGAACTCCTTAATAACTGCTTCCATTTACAAGACCAGGGAACAAAATGATGCTGCCAATTGCATACCAAAAATTTGCTTGATGTTATAGGGAAACTCTTATGCAGGACATCTCCCTGTGAAGTTGAAGGTGTAGATGAATGAAAAACCGCCTAATATGAACTGGGGGAAAAGTAACCTTGGGCTTTCACCTTTGGATCACTTTTTTAATTAGAATATCTTATTTAAAACTACTTTCAGGGACTGTCTGGGCAACTATATGTTGTGTTTATTGATATCAAAACTGCATTTGATTCTATTTTAGATACTAACAGAGAAAATTAAGCTGAATCTCAATGTCAGAGCAAATCAAACACTTTTACACTCATACCACTCTAAAGTTCAGATTTGGCATTCGTGTGTAACTGTCCATCTTAGACAAAACCTCAGAAGAAGCTTGTCAAGGCTACATCTTGGTCCTGTTGCTTTTGAACCTCTGTATAATTGATATGATAGAATAAAGTCATATCAGTACTGCTTTATATGGATGTCATAGTGTTAATGGCTTGTATTCAAATAGACTATAGATGACTCTTGAAATAGTTCAATGTTTCAAGCAAAATCTGCTTAATATGAATTATGGGGGGGGGTTTAAGGTTTTGGTTTTCAGTTGAAAGGACCCACCCCATAAAATGTCAATGAACTGGAAGTTTTTGGAAGAGGAGGTTTGTTTGAAGTATTTTAAGCAAGTGGTGTTTCTATAAAGTTGGGTTTCAAGATAGCTTTTATTAAATTAAACTAAAGATTGAAATAGCTGTATTTGGTGCATCTAGATTTTGTAGAAAGATTGCCCTGATTTGAAAATTTTGAAAATAAAGATATTCCCTCAAAATTATGGATCAGCAGTTGGGGATATGGAAATTTACAATCTAGTCATCCTGCATCAGCTTGAACACTCATCTCTAACAATTTTGTTTGGCTACACAAAAACTGAGACTCCCCGCACATTCTTCTGATAATCCAAGCTCAGCAACTAAACCTAGTGCAAGACTCTCACATGATTTAGCTTTCATCTCTCTGTAAGATGACAGTGGAAATCCTGAAGGAGCATAGAAGAGAATTTTCACCCAACAATTAGTTAATTATTATTTTATAGACCAAACTCACAAGTCATTGTTGAAGTTTAGCTGAAGCTGAAGATATGGGGGGAGAGTACTGCCAGCAGTAGCTGGGCATAGTATTTATTTTGGGCATTTTCTAGAGGTTGTAAGTTTCCACTCCCCAAATTGCTGATGAGGAGAAATAGAAGACTTAATCAGTGCTGTTTACCAGCTCTGTCGTACTCTTTATACATTCTTTTATTTATTCAGTTTATTCCTAGAGTTTATTTTTTCTTTCTTCGTGGTATGATTTTGGAAATTCTTAGAATCCCTATTGAAACCCCCAGGATTGTATTCAGTGGTTTCCCTGAGTTACGGTAATTCCTTTATAGTGGCAACCCTAGATATTGTTCTGTGCAGCTTTGTGGAGACACAATCAAATTCTTATCTTACTTTTTTAAAGGGCACTCTTTAGACTTGAAGTGTTGATGGGTAGCCCATCATGTACTACAGTAAAAGGGACTGCAAAAATTATGTGTTAAAGCAATCAAGTGTGCACTTTTTGAGTAATAGGCTTGGAGTTAATTCCAGTCTTTGAGTAGTGGTCTAATTCATGATTTAAATTGCATCCTTCCCACTTGTTATTAGCAGTGAAACTTAAAGTAAGCCATTCTTCTAGCTTTAATGCAGTGTCTTGTCTTTTAGTATTCAGTTTATATCATTGCCATCCACTGGTCCCACTCTCACTAGTTCCTCATTTCTGATGTATTCTCTTCAGCTATATTAATTTGTTCCAATTCCTTCTTAGATTACATTAAGTAGTTCACAGTCTTTCTGTTTTCCTCATTGGGCGAGGCTTCTTATACAGTGGTGCCTCGCTTAATGAGTGCACCGTATAACAACGAATTCGCATAGTGATCTGTTTTTTTGGATCGCTAACACTTATCAAAAGCACTGAAGCCAGCTTCAGTGCTTTTGAAGGAAGCCCTTTCCAATGTCCGTTTTCACTCATTTTTAAGTGTCTTACATTGCTTGGAACATGTTTTAAATGGTTGGAATAGTTAGTCCACCTTGTGATACCTATGCACACTTAGTTTGGCTTTCTTCTGAGTCTACGTTAATTTTTGGTGATTTTTTGTTTTTTCCCTCATTGAAATCCATTGGATGGACTCTAGTGCACAATGTCTTGGATGTAAAAAGCATTTCCTCTGGTGTCTCAGAACACAATTTTTGTCCTTGTGAATAATCCCATTTTTAAAAAGCATATATTTTTAAAAACATAATATTAGATAGAAACAGTTTTACTGGCTGACTATACTAAAACAAAAGGCAGGGGAGAGAAGAGACAAATAAGGGAGTAAGATCTTCCTTCTTTTACTCCCGTATTTATTAATTTTATATATACACTTCATACAAATCCCATCCTGTCATTATGAATGGTGTTAGGTCAGCTAATGC